TCTTTAAATATCTTGTTTTTGATTTCCACAAATCATTGTTTATTTGTCCTTTCTTTGCTTTATTAAAAAAACACTGTTTTTGTATTTCTACATCAATTTTACACACATCGTCAAAAATTACCCATATAGAAACCTTTGATATTTGCAAATTTTTTGCAAGTAGGAACATATTTACTGCAGAAAATTATTCACCTGCCCCACATTTCACAACTCAACATGGCTGCTTTTGTATAATTTATGCATTTAGTCTTATTTTATAATTTATTACCACAGAAAATATTTGATATTGTGAAAGATAACTAGATATAATATTTGAATGTTAGGCTAAAGTTACCTTGACCTTGAAATCCATTATTAGTGAGAAAGAGAAACATGTCCATGTCCAATACTATTAGCTAGCTTGTTGTTGACGCATTCTATTCTAGCTAGCTAAGGTTAGCTAGGTCGTCAAAATAATATGTTATTATATACAAGTATATATCATTGCTGTCAGGAGTAAACCTCGTATCTCCACATTTCATTTTTTTTTTTGTCATAAATCAATACTATTGGTCACCCTTTGTCTGTCAGTGTTCCTGAAAAGTAATGGTTTTGGACATACAAGGTTTCTGTCTGACAGCTGCAGTATATAATCAGTATATACATGATTAGGGGTATGCCGGTATCAAATTTTCATGTTGCGATTAATTGCTAATGCTTTTATTATGATCAACTGCTTGTTGGGTACTCTTTATCTAGAGTGTTAGTATGGCTGGTCCCAGACATTCTAGATTAATGGCTGAAATGTTTGTAGAGATGCTGCATGATGAGGAAGATCAGGCAATTCTTAGTCCTGATTCGGAGTCTGAAATATCTGATGCTGATGACCCTAGACCAGGGTTCCTCAAATCTTGCCCTGGAGGGCCAATGCGCTGCAGAGTTTAGCTCCAACCCTGATCAAACTCACCTACCTGTGATTTTCTAATGATCCTGAAGACATTGATTAGCATGCTCAGGTGTGTTTGATTAGGGTTAGAGCTAAACTCTGCAGGAAAGTGGATCCCGTGGGCCAGATTTGAGGATCCCTGCCCTAGACTATGTGCCACAGGGTCAATCTGGAGTTGTGGGTGTAAATCCAGCTCTCCTAGATGAAGACGACTCCTTTGATGACACTGAAGAAGACTTGTCTGATGAGTCCTCTGAAGAGCAAACTCAGACCCAGTCCAATAGATTGAGTAAAAATGGTTTGCACCTACTCATGTAAGCAGAAAACACCTAGGTGGCCCATGGTGCTGTGGTGCAATATGCTGGATGTTGCCTACACCAGGGGCAGCCAATGTTGGTCCTGGAGAGCCCCGGGCTGCGTTCCAGTCCGTTTTTTTTATGCCCTTCACTCGCAAACTTCCCTCCGTCTCGTTTACTCGGATGTACGTCATTGATTATGTTGCACGAGTGCCCACTACTGGCTGAACCCTTGCAATGGGCTGAATTGGAACATCCTAAGCCCTGGATCACTTGGAATCTGCTATGGAGTTGATTTGTTATTTACATTTCTTCCTTTAAGAATTTGTTTGATGCAGCATCCTATATGTATATGAGAGTGTGTCTAAAAGTGGAACGCTGCCATGGTAGAGGTTTATGTGACTTTATTAGCACATGAAAGATCTCAGAGCTATAGACATTAAATAAAAGCTACACAACTCACATTTGGATGTCACTGAGTCTTTAAATCAACATTGATTATCTTGATAGTCTTAAATGTCGTGTGTTTGTTATTTGATAGTGCAGCATGTGGTTCATTGCTGATTTCTTTGCTCTGTTTTCACACTTCTGTCTCTGTGTGTTTATTTGTGCAACATCCTCCATCTAAACTGATGAAGTCATTCACTGTGGATTCAAGCACTTCCTTATTTCTCAACATATTCCTGCTTTTAAATCATAATTGATAATTTTATCCTGAACTACTGAACAAAATCATAACAGTGCAGCTTCACAATGAACAGTGTATCATTTTATGGGGTCAAAGTCCTCAATATTACAAGCTTCTGTTATTCTGTCTTTGTGTTTCCTTTAAGTGATCAGTTTAATTTGTGAACATCTCATATGTGTTTGTACAAATCCTCAAAATATTACCAGAGGTCACCATCTCCTGCTCCTGACATCAACACTGATGTGCATTTTAGTCCAGTAATGTTGTTCACTTGTTGAGGGAGGGACACTGATATTTCCACTGCTGGGTATAAAACAGTGTTAACCACAAATAGTCTGTCTACAAGTGTATGTGTTAAAAGAGTCAGTCATTTAGCTGCTGCTGATCTGATGAGCTTCAACACGGTAAGACAAACACACTCGTACTTTAATGAAAACTGATGATTATTGCTCATATAACATACGTGTCTTAACGTGATAATCGTTAAGAATAGGTTGATGTACATACAGCACAAGTTATGATTATAAGTGCTGATTAATGCTGTATTATAGATATATTTGACGCTGATGTCGGTCAGAATGGCTCCTCGTCTTCCTCTGATCTTTCTGCTCATGATTCACGGTGAGTCTCTGTTACATTCACATCACAAACACTCTGATGACTTTATTTAAGGCCTCACAATGAGCGGCTGATGAGCACTTTCTTCTGTCCTGTTCTCACATATTTCCTTTTAAACAGGAAGTTAAGGTGAGAAACGTCAAAGTGCTTGTGCCTTTTATAAATATCCAGTAGTCTTCTGTTATTTGCTAGTCAGTGTCATGTGGTTTAGGAGGGACGTGCTCATTGTTCAGAGCATCTGATTGGACCAAAAATCTGTCTAACACTAGAATATTTCTGGCTCATGATCTCAGAAGTGAATATGTTAAATATGTATTGAGTTCAGTAGCACATAGATGAGCTCACATCTGGTAAACGTGAACTAAAAGCCAGATTTTGATGTCATTGGGTATTTAATAAATCAACTTTGATTATTTTTTTAGTCTTGTTTTTCATTATTTGATAGTGCAGCATGTTCTTTTCATGTTCTTTTTCACTCTTTTGTCTCTGTGCTTTTACTTCTGCTTTTCTGCTACTGATGATGCACTTCACATCATTAATAGATTCTGAGAAACTTAGCTTATAGTTCTTCTAACAAGTTGCTGTTTTAAAGTATTAAAAAAGTGTCATCTGTTTGTAGTCCATTATAATTGATAAAACAACATTTTCATCCTGTTGAATTCTGTGTTTCAGGGGTTTCTGGTGCTGGTTGGGATGTGAGTTACAGTCCTTCACACATCTGTGCACTAAAGAACTCATCAGTGATAATGAGCTGCACTTATACATACCCTACTGAATATCAGATCATGAAAGTGTTCTGGACCAAAAACTCTGTAATGGGTGAAGAGCCTCCAGATCTGTCTGAGGATCCTGAATACAGTCAGAGGCTTCAGTATCTGGGAGACAAACAGCAGAACTGCACCATCAGACTGAGTCATGTGACACAGAAGGATGAACACAAGTACTGTTTCAGATTCATCACTGATCAACCTGATGGAAAATGGACTGGTTATCCAGGAGTGACTCTTACTGTGACAGGTGACTTTCATGAGGCTGAGCTCTTCTTCTGTGCATTATGTTGAATAATAATCAGTGTATGACAGCAGCACTAGATATAATGTGTGTGTTGTGTTCAGATCTTCAGGTGGAGGCTCCTGAGAGAGTGACAGAGGGTCATAATGTCAGTCTGACATGTAAAAGCAGCTGCACTCTGACTGACAGAGCAACATTCATCTGGTACAGAAACTCACAGCCATTAACTGAGAGAAGAGACGGAAACAATCAACTCCTGCTGCAGTCAGTCAGAAGAGAGGATGCAGGCAGATACAGCTGTGCTCTACATGGACACAGTTACATCTCTCCTGCTGCTCGTCTCAGTGTCACGTGTGAGTACAGATTGACTTTTCCTCTTTAAAGTTGCTTTTGAATGTTGTCATGATTACATATCTCTGATAAATGGTCAGTTTTGTGGGAGCTCTTGTCCTTTCTCTAAAATCATAAGTCATACAATTATTTCATTAACAACACTGCTTCAATGCTAGTTTAATACTCTGTATCCTGGAAACACATGAACACTGAGCAGTGTTTATTTAACACTGGGGACTTGTGAAGTATTATATGAATCATTACCTGTTTTATTTAATTATGACTGACGCATATGAATCACATTAACTTTATTAATTTATGCAATCCAAATTGATGGAAAATGTGTTAAATTGTTAAGTTAAATATTTGTTGAGTGTGTAAGCAAAATATATAAACAAACACTCTTAATTTTCTTGAACACACACACAATAAAAGCAACTCTATAGCGAGCCGTTGACAGGACTGTAAGAAACTAAAATGTTGTCCCTCTTCTGGGCGAGCCAAACTAACTGTCAATCACATTAACATCAAATCAGAAAATACTATGAAATACTGGGCCGTAATTCTCAACAGTCTCTTAAAGAAAAAGGAAAAAAAAAGATAATTTCTAAGGTTGAGATGGAAATTGTTTACAAATGCAGTGTTTTGTTAATGAATAAAAATGTATATAAATACAGAATATAAATACTTTCACCTGACACCTGAAGATCCTCCAGAGAATCCTGTGATCTTCATCAGTCCATCTGGAGAAATAAAGGAGGGAGACTCAGAAATCTGTTATTCATAAGTCTTAAGTGTGTGATGCCACATTTGTTAATGTTTTGTATTTTTCTGTGATAGATCCACCCAGGAGCGTCTCAGTGTCCATCAGTCCATCTGGTGTAATAGTGGAGGGAGATTCAGTGACTCTGAGCTGCAGCAGTGATTCAAACCCTCCTGCAGAAATCAGCTGGTTTAAAGGAGGAAGGTTTGTAGGATCTGGAAGAATCTACAGCATCTCAAACATCAGCTGTGATCACAGTGGAGAATACAAGTGCAAGTCCAGAAATAAACATGGAGAGAAATACTCTGATGCTGTGACTTTAAACGTCATGTGTGAGTTATGCATCATATTCTATATTTTAACCACACACACCTGCTTTTTTCATTATTTGTCTGTATATTTTGTGGTATCTAGTCCTGTTAAACATACAGTGTGTATTTTTGTCTGTATTTCAGCAGTCAGGTGTTTCTCATCAGTAGCTCTAGCTGGTGCTGCTGTTGTTGGTGTTTTACTCGGTGGAGCATCCGGTGCTTTCGTGATGTACATTTGGTAAGACGTTCCTTTCAGAAATAACTGCTGTATGTTTGCAGTGTTAAAATATACTTGTTTACCACGCATGCATGTATAACAGTTCAAAACTGCAGTTATTCCAGTAAGGGATGTGTGTGATTTCGTAAAGTTATGTTTATTAATGAATTTGTGAACATTTCTAAACAACATTTGTAGTGGCAAAGACTCCTGTTTGTCTACCACATGGGAAACGCCATTGACCAGTGTTTAACTCGTGCTTCCTCTTCAGTAAAATCCACAAAGTTGCTGGCACTCCGACATAACACCATTATATGCCGATGGTGCCACCTCCTATAGAGGACTCGAACACACAAACACACAAGACAACCAGACGAAACAACACTTAATCCAAAATATTTAAAATAAACTCAATATAGACGGTAATATGGCTCCTACAACAATGTTGTAGAAACACATGGTTGATCAGTCACCGATTGAATCGAGGGTAAAGGTCCTCCAACATCACAGCAGATCAGGACATGTAATATACAGTGTATATATATATATATATATATATATATATATATATATATATATATATATATAAGAGAGAGAGAGAGAGAGGGGGAATACATATTATATTAATATGAAATATATATATAGCCTATTAATATGAAAATAAATAAATAATAATAATACATAATAACGTTAATAAATTATATATAATAAATAAAATTATTACTAACATTAATAAACATTAATAAATGATGTACATGAATAAATGCACAATACAAATGTTAATGTACAAAAATAATTTATTCACAAACATTAAAATCAATGTTCAAGTCATAAAATCTAGTAATGTTAAAAAACAAACAAACATGAAATTGTATTATTTATGTCCTGGTGGAAAATAGCAATAAATTAATATTCTGATGTCGCTTTATGGTCTTTTTAGGGTTAAATTACATTGTATGCAGTAATGTTTTTAAACGCCGTTATGACTGCGTCTTTACATCATTTCGAGCGCGCCCAGTCACCGTAACTGCGCGATTAGACGCGCAACACAAAGAAAGTGCGGCTGGCTTGACCGCAGTGACAGAAGCCTATCGACTCAGATTTCGGCGACACCCTGGCACGAGAATTAGAGCTATTTCGAAAAGTGATTACAGAGAACAGTTGAATACAATTAAAACGCTGCTTTTAAATGTTACATTTTTATGTCTAAAATGCACGTTAAACGAGTTAAAATGTATGTAATATTGTAAACTATGCTTTATTCACCAAAATAAATTCAACGTCCATGGGTCCATGGGTGTTCTTGCTTAATAAATGTTTATCTTTTGATTATTGCTGCTACCTAGTAATTATATGTGTGATTTTTAATTTCACAAAAGTGTGGGGGTATCTCGGGGGATATAGACATGAATAATAATAATAATAATAAATCACCGCTTTGTATTAGGCTATGCCTCCTAATACGATCCTGATGGCTTGCCCCTTTTAGAGTTAAGAAAGGCTTAAGGCTTGCAAAGGGTAGAAGAAACATACAAAATCTAGGAAGAGTTATGCAATTATGCTCACAAAAGGTCGAGTTTAAGGACAGGTCTCCTTTAAAGCTTAATTTTTACTGTCTGTTGTAACGTTTTAACGCTGATCTGCCTGC